GTTGAACTGTTCGGCTTTTCTACATTGTTGTTGTTAGAGACGCCGACATCATATTCATTTAATTGATCATTTTTGTCTTTAGGGCCTTGGATCATAATGGTTGCTGCAGTACGATACCTTTTTATACTTTCAAAAACTGAGGAAGGTGTATCTTCTTCGTTTGCATCTTCCAATAGTTCTAATAATTTGACTTTAGTTCGGAATTGGGTTTCGTTCGGCAAAGGTGGCGATGCATTATTAAGAATTTTCAAAGTTTTTTCATTACGAAGGTTAACATTTGCAATTTTTAACTCACTTAATATCGTTGGCTTAGAAGAATCTAATGACTTTTCGGTGACAGCTTCGGTTATCTCTGTCGCTGGTTTTTTAAATGAAGATAGAAAGCAGTATGTGTAGCTACTGGTAGTGTATTTTATAGCGTTGAATAGTCCATAGAAACCGGTTGAAGTTCTTAATCGCTTTACGTTGCTGCCGTTACCGTTCTCACTCACAAAGGGATCTTGGACGTGAATGGTTCTTATGATATTTGGTTCCTTACCAGCATATCGAATGTTTCCAAATTCTCCGGGAGACGTGCTAGATTCTGCTGTCGTCTTTTTTAACGCATTTAAGTTAATACAAATAGTTTTCTTATCATTTGAATCATGATGTAAAGTTGTCACTGCACTAGATCCAAACGGTTCAGGAGAATTTGCGATAATCGTGTCTTTCTTAACAATTTCGGTTAACTTGGTAGTTGTTTTTGTAAGTGAATAAAAAGAACGAAATGTACTGGTTTTTGTAGTTTCTCTTATAGTATTAACTAAACCAGTTGAATTTTCGCCATCTTTAAAATTTTTATTAATAGAAGAAGCATTGATGTCATTTGCCCGAAGTTGGTGATTCTTACTGGGAACTTGAAGTGTGATTGTTGCTGTGGCGTAATATTTTTGAATATTTTCAAAAGCCGGAGAAGGCACGTCTCCTTCGCCTACGCCTTCTAATAACTCTAATAAGTTGACTTCAGATCGTGATCGATTTTCACTCGATGAAGGAGACTTATTAGCAAAAATTTGAAAGTTTTTCCCATTATTAAGATTATCATCTGAAGTTTTTACAGCGATATTTTTCTTAATAGCTTCGTTCCACATGGTATTTGCTTTTGCGAGAGAGGAAACGGCTCCGTATGTATATCTAGTGGCAGTGTTCCATAAAGTGTTGATTAACCCATACATTCCGATTGAACTTTCAAAACTCTTAATCGTTTTATCATTAGGAAAACCTGTTCCGCATTTATTTGAGCGCGCATACAGACCGAAATCCTGACGTTTAAAGTTTTCTTTGCTATGAATCGACATTGGAGGGTGTATACCGTGCTCGATAGTGTTTTCTAATGTTTTGATCAAACAATTTTGGTTCTTGATCACTAAGTTATTTGCGAAATCGTATGTTTCTCGTATACAGATATTCTCTAGCACGGCCGATCCAGCAGTTTTAGAGGTGTCAGCGGAATTTTCATCGTATGAATTCGAATCGCAATAGGTATAAGTATCAGCATTAAATTCTTTTGATGATATTGCGTCTTGATTAGCTTCTAACGATTCCCCATCATTATCCATATTAGCTAATTCAAGATAAACTCCTTTTGTTGCCTTACGTATATCGGCATTGCATTTTGAGGGACTTTCCACATTTTCCGCTTGGTTCTTAGAAACTGGAAATGATAAATTTTCGGTGGAAACTTCGGGTCCGTTGCGGTTTGCAACAATCTTAGTTACATGAAATTCCCTTGGGAAATTTATTATATCTGACCCTTCATCAGTTTTGTTATCGGATAAGTTGTAGGAGCTGTCGGCGTCTTTTGGTATTTCAGCAATCGGAGATAATTTATGTATGCTTTCTAATGGCTTGACTACAATTTGTTCGTGAGTGTTTGTTGAACTGACGGTATTAGCTAGAATTTTGTTAACTCTCATGTCATTGAGAAGCAATTTTCGAACTTAAAAATTTAGTAAACTTACATTCTTTTAGATGTCCATTCCATTTCATTGTGAATGATAGAAATTTATAGGCTTTCTTAAAGTAATAAAACGGTATTGAGGTTATGTTATTCGCGTTTTCAGTCTTTTTCGATGCCTTTGCTTGAGTTTTAATCTCATGTAAATCTTCAAAATTTTCGTCCTGACAGGTTTCTATTTCCATTTTTGTCCTTTCGCCCTTGAGTTTGGTAGATATCTTATCGTTTACGTTATTCCCAGCTAGATAATTGTAGTCATGTTTTGGTAATGAAACTTCCTTTTCGCCTATGTATTTAAGTGCTAATGATAATTTGTCGTCCATTTTTTCGTACGTCAGAAATTTATTGGAATCCATACCATAACGGTTATAAAAAACTTTTCCTACTTAATATCAATACATTTGCTTTTGGTTTAAAAAATGTTCAGATCAACTTTTAATTTTACCGTTACCTAATTAGTGACTGCTCTTGGATACTAAACTAAGACTGTACAATGAGAAAGCAGAAAAGATCGTACCGTTTGATTCGGGTAGTGTTGCCGGATTGCTTAATTAGGCATGCACTCAAATTAAAAATTGTAGAAATTATTTAAAAAAGCAGTATACCCGTCCTTATATTATTAATTGACATCAAACCTTAAATATATCTAAATTGATTGCTATAAGCAGAGCGGTCTTCCGATCAACTCTTTTTATGCCCTACACCACTTGCAGCAAAGGATATTTTAAGTTAGCGCGCACATATATTACATCCAGGAGGACTTAAGATAGAGCCAGCTTATGCCAGCCTATTTAGAAATATTTTCTAAATCAATCTAAGCTTGCCTGTCCGTTTGATGTCGGTCCATGCATTATGCTGTCTAGCCTACAGGCCGCAATTTTTGAGATATTTCGATGAAATTTGATACGATGGTCAAGGACGAATGCAATTGAGAATGATTCGGATCGCTCTACTTTTTCCACCTCTCCCCATATAATGTCTTATTTATAAAGGAGAAGTTACAATTTTCAAAACTTGTCGATAAAAGTCGCTAAGTAATAGTACTTCCACAATATAAATTGTCATGAAAAATTTGGGACGGTCGGCACAATTTTTTGAGCACCCTCTCATATGACCATTCCTACAAAAAAACGAATCTTTTTATGGTAAAAATTCTCAACATTTTCTGACAAAAATTGGCCCGTACCAGCAAACTGACAAAGGAATCAACGTTCCCAAAAGTGGACCTCGTGAGTCTATTTTGTGGATACCACCGCATATAAGGATTCTCATGAGGTGTAGAACCTTATATGCCAAGAAGACCCATTTGTTAATGTTTCACTATGAAACTTTGTTCATGGCAGTAATTTGACGTAAGAGTTAACTGGGCCAAATTTGAACCACATGGGACTATTTCTTGCACCACATCTGATAGAAGATTTGTGAAGAATAACAAGCCCTTCAGAGAAAGGCTTAATTTTTCATATTCATTGATGAAAATTGATCCACTGCAGCAATGCAGCAAAAAAATTAGTTGTAGCAAATTTTAACCACATTGGTCTATTTTGCACACGCTATAATAAAGAGCAAGCCCTTATATGACGGGAAAGTCTGACTCCTATGTAAATTAAATTTGCACAATTCAGATCTAGAAATGAATGTAAAATTCCATTTAGGAAATTAAGCTAAATTAACATTTTTAAAATTTTTTTAAACAATTTACTTATATATACTTAAATCGTCTTAATAAGCAAAGGTAAAAATTAATTGCACTCCCAACAACGAATGCAACCTTTTAAATTTCCAGGTGTAGATGGCATCGGACGAGATTTTTTATGAGAGGATTCATTACCAATGGCTTCTTGATGATCACCAATCTCCATTATGGTTTCATTGTTATTAATGTCTTCAAGGTTATTAGAAATTTGCATTGCTGGTTGGGCATCCAAATTAGTTTCGTGTAAATCTCGACTTTTTGTGGCACTTTCTCTTTTTGGTGTTTTGTTATATGCCTGTGCTTTAGTAGTAAATTTTATTGCATTTGTCATTTTCTTGAATTTCTTCTTAAGCTGATTGGCAGCGTTTGCATTCCTTCTTGGCTTATAATAAGAGGCAGTTTCTGCTGAAAATAATCCACGTGCTTTAAAATAGGTTCTTGCAACCTCTTTCTTTCTTGGCGTTAACTTATTGTTGGCCGATTTAGTTCCCGTAGGTGTTTCAGAATTCATCATGTATGATTTTCTTTTAAGCAATACAATTTCGGCAGATCTTCTTCCTAGTTAAAAAAATTTTAAGACTATATTTTACTTCTACCGTTATTCCCTCAATGATCTCGTTTACTAATGTAGAAATGCAGGAGCAAACTAATTATTTAAACTGATAGGAACAGTGTTCCCACATAGTAAATAACGCGATCAAAGCTTATGATATTTATGAAGACTTTAAGGAACAATATTAAAATGAAATTTCAAACTTGTTTGTCATATATAATATATAACAATGAAAAAATTCTATGATGACACTTGTCTTTTTGTCATCTCTTTACATGAGAAATAATACAGACATCTTTATCTGATACATAATACAGATTTTTTGATGAGAAAGCTAACAATAACTTTATTTATATTATGATAGAATGTTAAAAACAGCCCAAAATTGTGATATTTCTTCTTTCTCCTTTCTTCTTGTGTAGGAGACAAAGCAAAATTTTATTGGTGCCATAAGGCTCCGAGCCGATTAAAAGCCACTTCATTGGCTAATAAATAAGCCAGCTGCTCAAACCAATTCTTAAGAGGGAATATTCTTATTACCAGAAAGTAAAGAAATTTTCTGAATACATCGAAAATATTCGAGCTTTAACATATGGCTCCTAATCATAAAGTAGATTAAAAACCTCCTTTTAGATTAAAAAAAAAAGGAAATGATCGCCTCTTAGAGACTATAGTCCTTTTTTTCATTTATCTGCTGTTTCATATCGCTGTAAGTCACAATTTCACACCAAGGATAATGTAACCAAAAATCTGATAGGAATTGTTGAGTTTTTTTGGAAAACAACTGGCTGGGGAAAAATGCTTGAAAATATTCTACATACTGCGAAAAATCTAATTTAGCGAAAAATTCTCGCGATTTTTACCAAGAAATCTTAATTTAAAGTTCAGATTAAAATTCCAACATAATCACAAACATTCAGTCACTTTCTGTCATTGCGGCCGGTCACCATTCATAAAGCAAAACGATGTGGTTTTCGGTCACGGTTTTTTTATACTCGTCTTAGATTTTGTTATTTCGCATCAATAGACAAAATAACAATCTTCAGTACCAATTTCGGTACGAAACAAAGTCCATAAAGAAAAAAGTGCTTTACCACTTGTTATGTCGGTGAATTAAAGAAGGTATTGGTCTGGCAAGCTTCGAAAAACGCATTTAGAATTTTAAATACTTTCAATAGGGTTTTGAATCAATTAAAATTTTTCCTCCATCCCACCATCGTTTTTTATACCATTTTTCGATTTTTAGAGCGATATTGCATATTGAGTGCCGCTGCAAAAGAATTATAAAATATTCAAAACCTTTTTTTCACATTATTAACGTGAACGTTTTTTTGTCTGTCACCTTTAATGCAATCTGTCCTTAATTTTAACACAGTCACTTCATCTCACATAGTGTTGATAGCGTTTCAATAACGAAAGCTGCATACCATCATACAACATATGTCGTTTTAAATATTTATCTATACATTTGTGTAGTTATGCATCAAAAAAATATATGTATGTTATTCTTCTTCATGTTTTTTCTTTTTTGCTTTAATACAAAATCCATGTTATAAAATTCCTTAAGAGAGAGTACGTACGTATGTGCAGTAATATATGGATTCTTGTACATAAATAAGTACGTAGTTATATGTGCAAACGGTTATGCATTATTGTTTTTCTTTCACACGGTATTTTTAAAGTAAACGAGCTCATAAAAAATCCTGGCGAAATGACGTTTATCAACTTTGTAATTTTTTTTGGATTGAATTTAAAGCTTTTGTAATACACGGACAAATTCCAATAAAATCGCTCTTATTAGAAGAGGTGAAGTGTTTGCGCCCATCATATATTTACGAACATTGGATTTGATATGGCAGCACTGAAATTTTCTAATTTAAGTTCATTTCGCAATGCCGTGTCGATCATAAAGCATTAGGATTGTGGATTAGCATTAGGATTGGCGGTGTTGCTACGAGATTTCATGTAATAGTTTGAGGTTAGTCCTCAGAGATTGCGATAACAAAATTTGTGGATTTAGTCTCAAAAGAAGAGGACCAAGCATCATCTTTTTTAGTTAATTTATTATCAACATTTTCGTCATTTGTTTAATCTATTGAAAACATTTTTACTGCACAGATGTTTAAAAGTCTCCCTGGTTTGTAACTGGTAAATACATCAATAGGTTGTCCACGTTAGACTAAAGTATCTTCATATAAGGTCAGGCCAGCCTAAGCGAAGTGTCATGTTAAAATCTGAAATTTGGTCTTCCCTATGATTGTCAAAACTCAATTGTTTCGTAAAAACGCCCTATTCTCTGGATGTAATGTATTTAACTGGACTTAAGTTTCCAGCTGTTGACTTAATGTGAATGGCGACATTGTAAGCAATTTTGTTATGTGGACTTACAATTAGAGTACTACCTTAAAGATAGATTCCCTGCGCATTTATAATCTTGAGCAAAGAGAAGTTTTGACTCAAATTCGTCGCCTTGATATTTCCTCTTGCTACAAGGCTGGCTATTGCACTGAAACGCATAGTCAGAATCGTAACAAGACAAGATCAACTTCAAAAGCAGCAGGTATGGTCTGACCACCAGAGCTTTCGTAGCAAACTTTCCAGGACCTTTTGAAACATCAAAACAGAACTGAATAAAATTATTTACTTTTAGGGACGAGTTTATAAAATAACTTGTCATTTTTATATAATACATTTGCTTGAGTTTGCGATTATCTAAGATTTGCTCCCAAACCGAATATAATTATCTCAGTTGGTTTACGCATCGCGGCATCTTTGTTGGCAAAAATCGTTGTTATTGCTAAGTTATTTTATAAGCCAAATAGTCATTTAATAGACTTTTATTTTGAGTAAGTTTAATAAAATTCATTGACTTTTATCGCTTCTGTTAAAAGAAAATCTTTTAATCTTTACGAACGAGTGTTTAAAGCCTTGTAATTTGTAGAGAAAAAAAGGAAAAGAAAACTAATCATAAAAAATCACTTGTCACTTCAATTAAGAAACATTAAATTGTTTAATAATTTTATTGCTACATTAATGCAATGTCCAGACAGACACGCACACAAATAAATCCATATGTGTAAACACACTTGAGATGAAAACATTTGTAAAAGCAATTAAATTAATTGATAAATACAATTATGATGTACACAGTTATATGCGAAAGGAACACTGTTGTGCAAAATTAGTCATAGTGTGCCAGGCATGCCTGCGTGCAATAATAGTTTTCTTAACAATAAACATTTGTTTATAAATTCAATTGATTTACGAACGACTGTTGCATTTATTAATTTTCACTTCATATTTTTTTTTGCTCTATTGCAAATTTAAATTAATTGGTATACTTGAAAAGCTTTTCTTTAAATAATTTAATAACAACAATAAAAACTTTCTATTGTTTGCTCGCATGGGAGAAAAATTTCAACTTATTATCGCACGACATATATTATTCGTTCTATTCGTTAATTTTTGCGGCTGGTAATGCTGCTTAAACTTTTTTTCTTGCAGTTTCTTACAACAATTTGTGTATCATGAATTGCCGCCTAAATACCGAAATGTATTCAAAATAAGGCTCTCTTTCTTCAATGTTCAATAAATTGTAATTTCAATGTTAATCTTTCTCATTCTACGTTACGCCTTTAAAATCGTGTATTTTGCCCTATGAGAATATTTCAGTTTTAGTTGACACACGAACATGGTATCATGGAACATCTATATCTAAAGGTCAATTTGCTAATGTGCTAGGACCACTGTATGTTGTTAGAGCCCTTCTATATTATGAAAGCAATAATTATGCCCCATTAAAGGTAAGTAAGCAAGCCATTGTTGTATTTTTTCTGGAACCAAACCAAAATTATAAAGACTGAACTATTTCGTAAATATATGTCTTCTTAAAATCATTATTACAGTGAAATGCATATTTAGTCTACGTTTAACTCTTTTAAGTCTAATTTATAATAAAATCTTAACCTTAGAATGAGTTTAAGAGTTTTATAGCCACAATAGAAACTTTACTGCGTTCGTTTCATTTCCGAAGTACGCTTGTAACAAGTGCACAATTTTAACTTGTCTGATACGTATTATTATGGGAGGTATTTACCGACTATGTATGTATTACATACATAGTTTTTAATTATAAATATGTTAGTTAGATAATTAAATAAATATTGGCAACACAACCGCCTTATGACAATAAAAGCGCTATTGTTTGTTTGTCTCGGATCTTTACTCGAATTGCAATCACAAGCAAACGTACCCTAATAAAAACGCAGGTTCTTAGGATCAGCGCTACCGCGTACGCCATGTTGACTTATTTCGACTTTCGACAAATTTCAAGAAAATGCTTTGGAAGCAATTGATGCTTCAGAAGACTTTGATTTTATTTTCGTGGAAGGAGCTTTAAGGAAGGTTGTTTGAAAAACATCGGTAAAATGTTTTATTGATACCTTTTTACTTTAAAATCTTTTCCGTGAGATCACGTTGTGGAGATCTTTTTAGGGAATGCTTGAAAAGAAAACATAAAAACACTATAGTGGGACGCAGATTGCGATTCAATGTGCTATACCACTTCGTTTAATATAGTTATGCATATCACAAGTGGTCGAAAAAGTGGCCAAATCTGAACCATTTTCAATAGGGTTCGTCCACGGGCGATCATATGGGTGCAGCGAATTTTATCAAAATATTTCGAGAAGATTGAGCAGCAAAAAGCAGGGCAGATAGACAGACGGACAGGCAATGGAAAGTGAAATAAAAGGTGGGTGTTGCATATATCCGCGCAAACTTAATGTAATCTTATACCACAAGGGGTGGAGGGCATGAGAAGAGAAGAGATCTGAAGAGAGACAAATGCAACAGCCATAGTTTTTAATTAGAGTTTATTTCTGCAATGGGATTTTAACTTAGCCATGGCACATTTGTAACGTCTAAGCAGCATCCTTTTCATAAACTGAGTTTTAAAATGAATACGAATGTACCCCCACAATAAATGCAGTGATTTTTTCTGAATCTTTTAATGTCCACAACGGTTACAAAAAGTTGTCGTATACCTATGCGAGTATTTAACTTATAACGTATTGGTATCAAATTTTGATATATTTCGTATCAAGGTTGGCAGTGGTGTAGTGATAAAAAAAAGAGAAGACTCGAAACCAAGTCGGTTTTTCCGGGCAAATTATTAAAGCCGTAATCATGACGTCAGGCGGACGGATAGGCCAAGATGGCCCCATCAATTATTATACTCACTGTGGAAATGTATACATAACAGGTGCACGAATAAATTCGTTTCGCTCAGATTTTGTTGCTTCATAAAACATGCGTTCAAATTTTCCGAAATTTCAGATAAAGATTCTTCGATACTTGATGTTGGAGCGATGTAAATTTCAGGGGTTTCCAAGCTGTTGTTCGGTGTAAAGAGACGGACGTCAACAAGCAGCATTTACACCATTGTGTATTATTCCGTTTTAATCTTGGGTGAAGTTGCAGAAGTGATGAGGTTAGCTTATGGTGAAAATGCGGTAAGCGATAACGATTGGCGAGATTTGTGCATGCAAAAAATTGTAATGTTGAGAACTGTAAACACTCCGGAGCTCCGCGAAAGGTGTTAGCTGAACGAATTTACTTTCACTCAACTAACGGATAGGTTCCTGGAGATCTTCGAAGCGTAATGTTTTGTTTATATAAATCACTAATCATTTTAAAGGACGCCAACGCCTTAAGTAATTGCCATAAAACAACCAAATTTTTAGCTAAACGTAAATACATTGTTATATAAGGAAATATATTAATGTATCTAAATAACGGTTTACAAGCTATGATAGGACGCTTTTTCCTTTTCTTTTTTATTAATTAATACACAATAAGAGAAACAACTTTTTCCTTTTCTTTTGTTTTCCAACTTGAAGTTTTGCGTCGTTTGCTTCATTTTAGCAAAAATTTGCATAATATCTAAAAATATAGGCTAATAGACTGACAAAAAAAGTTATGTGCAAAAAGCTCCGACTATTCGCCATAAAAATAAAATAATTTCTTTGGCTGCTCGTAACTGTGAAGGCGTACAATTTACCGAACTAGAGAGAAACATAAAATTGCTTACCACAGCAGGGTGTGAGTCGATGCTATTGATTTTGCCTTTGGTATTCGGGTGATCGGTAAAGTGAAATTTCAAAGAAAATTAAGTGAAAATCCCTCTGACTATCGATGAAAAAAGAAGAGATTAACAATTTAAATGTTTACAGCCCCGTATAAAATATGAAAATGTCTACACAAACAGATTGTCTGGGCGCCTAAGCACTAAACAAATTTTTGCAGAGATGGTGCATTCGCGTTGGCGCTATACAGTTAATATGCAATGAGTGTGTGCGGTTTAATGGAAAAATCATAAAAGATCTGTTTTTTTAAAGGAGATTTAAAAAAGGTTTCATATGCTTTGTCTCCACAAGGCTTGTGGCATAGGGTATATTAAGTTTGCATGTCGACAAGGACTTGAGAAGCAATAAAAATGTATACCCATCGTCCATTTGTGTATCTAAAAGTAAGACATATTGTCCTACGGGGGAAGGCATGCAGTGATAGTTGTAGATGCCTTAAATTGTGACATAGGCTGATAAATAATGTTTGAACTGATCTTAGCCTATATGTTTATACCCTA